ATAAATTTCAAATTTTTCTTGTCCATTTTTTCATAAAAAAAAGTGTCAAATAACATTGTTATTCTTTTAGGGGCTACTTGAAGCAGTAAAGGAGGTCTTGCCAAATGCGGAGCATAGACAATGTGTTCGCCATATATACGCAAACTTTAAGAAGTCATATAAAGGAGAAGAGTACAAAAGATCTGTTTTGGCCTGCTGCTGGTTGCACTGTCGAACCTGAATTCATATCGGTGATGGAGAGATTGAAGGCTATAGATGTGGGTGCATATGAATACGTAATGTCCCATAACCCAAGCTCATGGAGTCGTGCTTACTTTTGTTAAGGTAAGTATTTCATTTTCCTTTTTACTTAAATTTGATCCTTATACTTTAAAATAGCACTTAACATTTGGTGTTCGCACTTAACATTTGTGGTTTGTACGTTTTTGCCCTTGTTGATGTGCTAGATTGTGCTAGATTGAACAAAGGAATGAGCAATTCCAATGCAACCAAAGTGGATGAATTTGTAAATCAAAGTGGATAAGGTTGTTGTGATTTATGTAAAGCTGAAAACAAAAAATCAGAAAATCTGAAATCTGAAAAAACAAAAATCTGAAAATATAAATCGGAAAACAGCAATCTGAAAATCTGGAATCTGAAAACAACAATCTGAAAATCTGAAACAGCAATCTGAAAATCTGAAATCTGAAAACAGCAATCTGAAAATCTGAAATCTGAAAATATAAATCTGAAAACAGCAATCTGAAAATTTGAAATTTGAAATTTGAAAACAACAATTTGAAAATCTGAAATCTGAAAATAAAATTTTGAAATCTGAAAAACGTAAATCTGAAAAAACAGGTATGTTTATTTTTTAACAGATAGAGCATGTGAGGCTTTTGAGAACGGTGTTAGTGAAAGCTTCAATGTGATGATTGTTGATGCTATAAAAAGGCCATTGTTAACAATGTTGGAGATGATACGTTTAAGTGTCAGGGAGAGAGTTTCTTTTATGTATAACCTACAACAAACGTGGGAGGCTCCTATTTGCCCTGCAATCATTACGAAATTGGAAATATTTGGTGAACACTACATGTTAGTACATTGCTTGTATTTGGAAACATGTGTTGGCCTATTACACCTTCTAATAAGTACATTTAATGTATTTGTAGGTCATGGTCTGTCATACCAAGTGGCGGAGGGGTATTTGAGGCAAGGTCAACCCATAAGTCCTACTGTGTAGATTTGCAGTCCTGGTACTACTCATGTAGACTATGGGAATTATCAAGAATTCCTTGTGTTCATGCAATAGCTACAATGTTTTACAATCAACAAAATCCAGAGGATTTCATCAGTCCTTGGTTTTCAAGTGAAAAACTCAAGGAGAGTTATTCTACTTTTTTACAACCTATGAATGGTAGCAACCTATGGCCAAAGACTCCTTATGAAAAACCTTTGCCACCTATGTCTAGGCGGATGCCTAGGAGGCCTACTGTGAATAGGAAGAAGCATGCCAGTGAGAAAGGAGACTGCAGATCTAGGAAAAGAACTGTTAAGTGTAACAATTGTCAACAGTTTGGGCATAATAAAAAGTCATGTAAGAATCCTACAAAGGAGCCTAAGCCCAAACCAAAAAAGAAGATAGGAAGGCCAAGTGTGGAGAAGATTGAAGGTACTTCAAAAAGAACAAGAAAAAAAAAACTAAAGTTCCAAGTGCATATTCACAAGCAATTGCTGATTTGCGGGCGTCTGGATACATTTCCCAAGAAATTGAGGAACTAATGGGTACAATGGATGATTTTACCCAAGAACCCGTGCAACTACCAACAATGGATGATGTCATTTTTGTCCCTGAAACTGTAGCGGGAACAACAATGGATGATGTCACACTTGAAGTAGCAGGCATTGAAGAAACACTAATGGGTGATGTAACTTTTGTACCTGAAACTATTGCACCTGGTTCGACCGGACATAACCAATGACATTGGACTAGTACAATAGAGGTGATTGTATTTTTGTAGAGGGGGTGGGGGTATTTTTGTGTGATACTATTAATATGGCCATTTTGGTCTTTTTGTTGTAACTTATTATTTGGCCTTTTTGTAAGTGTTAATGATCGCCAAGTTCACACCCACATGTTATTTAGAAACTCTAATCCACTTTGGACTAACATTCCCCTTTGTAAACTGTTAATGAAATGTTGTGTACTTTGTTTATTTTCTAAATTTGTTGTTGTCTTTTTCTTATTACGACATTCTACTTTCAAATATCTATCAAATGTTGTGTACTTTTTTTATGTTCTAAATTCCTTTATGTTCTAAATTCCTTTTTGTCTTTTTGTCTTTTTCTTATTACGACATTCTACTTTCAACCAATTTTTAACTTAACAGCTCCCATATTAACAGTTTTTTATTTTATTTTTCTATTTATGTTACAATAAACGTTAAAATATATATTAGTATTTATTACTCTTTTAGATAATATGTAATATGTAATTATATATATAATAAATTACCAAAACTGCAAAATTTAACATTGAAAGAATGTAAACTTTAAATGGGTAAAATTGGAAACTGAAAATAGCATATATAGAAAAGTACTTATATACTCATATAAAACATAACCAACTATCTTGCCATACAAAACATAACCCTAACATACCTTAGTTCATCAAAAGTAACACAACCTTAAGATAGAAAACATAACCCTAACATACCTTAATTCATCAAAAGTAACACAACCTTAAGATGACCAATGTCAAGACAACTACCAAGAATACTACAATCCTAACATATTTTACTCTTCGTTCTTCACATTCCAAACATGTTTTTTTCTTTAACTTTAACTTTAATTCTTTGATCTCATCTTCCATACCCTTCATATCATGGTTCATATTGAAGAGTAGATCCTTGTACCTTTGGATTGTAAGTTCATCATCAATCCACGTGAAATATTTGCAATTCATACTTTCATCCTACAAAGAATATAATTTTATTTAAGTGACAGGTTTATAATTTTATTCCAGTACAATGCAAAGAATGATAAATTATATCACTACATGGTATAAGTTCAGGTTTATATTTGGACATCCACAAAAAAAATTTACAAACATTTTACCTTGTAATTTGGACATCCATAAAATCTTCTACCAGGATTCTTTGCAGTCCATGATGTAAAGATAGGAGCTTCTTCATTACACTTGCACAAGTCAACTCCACCGCTCCTTACTATCCTTCTACTTCTGATGCTCTTGATGCTTGAAGAAGATGACATTTTTGAGGACTAACAAGTTGGTGAATCAAGCAAAAAATGATCAATTCAGTTTTATAAACCTGAATTAACATCAATAAACATCAATTCAATTTCATATAACAATGTTTTCATACAAAAAAACAAACTTTTTATTAGATTTGTGCATACTAAAAAAACAGAATTTGATAAAGTGATATAAGTTTGGTTTTCTTTTCTTCTGTCGTTGTTTTCTATTAGATTTCTTAAGGGTAGTTTGGTAAAATGAATCAACATGTTCTCCTGAATCAACATCAATTAACACATAACTCCAAAAGATCAAATCAGGAGCTAAGAAAACAAACAAAATCGAAAAACATATTCCCCTGAAATGCACAAATCACAAACTCAGAAGTTTTTGTACTAAGAGGGGAATTCGAAAATTAAACCTGAGGGTTGAGAATAAGGAATGTTGAACGTAGATAGTTGTGGAGTTGGTGAGTGGAGCGGAAGGCTATCGACCTGAACAAAGCGTGAGATCGAGAAAAGAAATTACTTCAGTGATTCCTAGATGTCATAGCCTTCTTGTGCGATTTCTGGAACTGAGAATTGGATGCCATGTCTTTCTTGTTGTGCGATTTCATAAAAAGCCCTGGATTTGCATATCGATTTGTGTATCTTGAAGCGCAAATTTATTGAACTGAGAATTGGATGCCATGGCTTTCTTGTTGTGTGATTTCAGAAAAAGCCCTAGATTTGCATATCGATTTGTGTATATTGAAGTGCAATGAACGAAACCTAGAGACAAGTGTAGAAGAAAAGAAACGCAGGAGGGATATGCTCGCCTTCATATGATACTGGCTATTGACTAGTCAACCAGTTATCCTTTCTAAATAACAAGGATCATCAAAACATGTGGTCTTTTTAGGGAAAAAGTAAAACATTTGGTTTAAATAGAAAAAAATATAAATATAAGGTCTATTTTGGAAAAAACCAATAATAATATCCATTAATTTCATGGTAATTTTCAAAAAAGTCTCAATATTTTGGTTATTATGTAATTTTTGAAAAAGTCTCAAAATTTTGAGCAAACTAACGAAAAAGGACAGAATACCGACAAAATCTATGAAACCGACCGAAAAGGGTTTTTTCGAAGTTTTAACCGGTATTCTGTGTTTTTCGGTAAATAAAATTTAGTTTGAGACTTTTTCATAAATTGGACCAAAATTTTAGGACTTTTTTGGAGATTTCCTTTTATATTTTATATAGCATTGTAAATCATAATATTAAATTTGTTTCCATATTTGATTTTTAGACTTTAATAGATGTCACATGGTGTTTCTTGATTGCTCCCTCAAATCAAAAAATAATGATTTGTCCTCACACTTCATAAAACATTCACATATTGAAAAATGCATTTTAGTTATCTTCATATTTACCTTTCCATGGATTCATTGTGTTTCTCTTCAACATACATTCAAATTTATATACTTTTTTACAAATTTATATTAATATTAATTTTAAATAACCAATAAAAAATAGTAAGCAAACCAATACAAAAAATACTTTTTTACAAATTTATTTTTAAATTTTTTACCGATGGTTTCCAAGGTTGTATAACCTAGTTGGAAATATAAAGGATTGATGGTTCAAATCTCACCATAGATAACAGAGTAATTCAAAAATAAAATTTAATGAGTGTGTTAAACGTTAAAAAAAAACAATTATAATTAAAAAAAAAAAAAACGTTGTAAACATGTAAAATGAAAAAGGATATAATAAAAGAAATAGAAATTTAAGTATGAGGATTTTCAGGGCAGCTGCGTGTATGTCTCCGGCGCCAAAATTCCTAAAACCCTAAATGCCGCTGATAACTTAACGATGAAATCACTGATCTTTCCAACAAGAACAGCCGCGATCTTAATTCCAAATCTTGTTTTTAATCCGTCTAACTCGCTTTCTTCCATTTCTAATTTCTTACCTGTTAGAAACCCTAATTATCTCCCTCAACTACGTCGTCTTAGATTATCCTCAGCTTATTCTTCGCCAATCACCGAAGAAAACGGCCATTGCCACCAAACTGAGGGTGAAATTCACGTAATTGTGGGCCCTATGTTCGCTGGAAAAACCACCACTTTGCTTCGCCGGATTAAATCTGAAAGCTCTAATGGCAGGTTTGTACCTCACCTTAGTAGTCTGCTAATTCAATTACTTCATTGAATTTATTACATGGATGTCTTACTGTATCTGTCGCAATTCATCCAAACAATGTTGTTAAGTCGATCATTAGTAAAGCAAAAATGGCTCCAACAACATCATCAAAAGCTGGAATAAATTCACCTCATCTTCATATTTTGCATTCAATCTAAATTATAGCTGAATGTTCAATCGATTCACATGTTAAATTCGTAAATTTCTCCTTGCTTTCTGTTCCAATAGCTGAATGCAATTATCACTGGTAAGATATTCCCAGATTTCAGGATAAGGTCTCAAAGGGCTTCCTCAACATGGATGAAACATTGAAGAATCTATGTTTTTCAGGAAGACTAGCAGAAGCAGTTGGATTACTATGCCATACAGGACACCAAGTTGACTCAGAGACTTACTCCCTTCTTTTGCAAGATTGCATATTCAAAAAAGATCATCAGTTTGGGAAAAGAATCCATTCACAAATGATTTTATCTGGTTTTGTTCCCAATGAGTACCTAAACATCAAGTTGCTTATATTATATGCAAAATCAGGCGATCTAGTCACTGCCCACATTCTTTTCAAGAAATTACTCATCCCAAATGTGATTTCATGGAACGCCATGATTTCAGGTTATGTCCAAAAGGGTCTTGAGGAACAGGGCTTGAATCTTTATTACAAAATGAGACAAAATGGTTTAACACCTGACCAGTTCACTCTTTCTTCAGTTTTTAGGGCATGTGCCACCCTGGCAACACTAGAACAGGGTAAACAAGCACATGGGGTTATGATCAAGACCCAAATAAATGGAAATCTTGTAGTCAATAGTGCCCTAATTGATATGTATTTCAAGTGTAGCTGTCCATACGATGGACATTTAGTATTCAACAAGGCCTCAGATAAAAATATTGTTACATGGACTTCCTTGATATCTGGATATGGACAACATGGAAGGGTAAAAGAGGTATTAGATGCTTTCCATAGAATGATAAACGAAGGATTTAGACCAAACAGTGTTACTTTTCTTGTAGTTCTTTCCGCTTGTAGCCATGGAGGTTTGGTAAAAGAGGGCTGGGAGTATTTTCAATCAATGAGAAGAAATTACGTGATTACCCCTGGGGAAAAGCATTATGCAGCAATGGTGGACATTTTAGGGAGATCAGGAAGGTTAGATGAAGCTTTTGAGTTTGTAAAAAATGCACCATGTAAAGACCACCCAGTGATATGGGGTGCACTTATTCAAGCTTGTAAGGTATATGGAAACATGGATATGGTGAAAATTGCAGCAAAAAAGTATTTTGAATTGGAAAGTGATAATGTTGGTAAATATGTGGTTTTATCTAATGCTTATGCGACTTTTAGTCAGTGGGATAATGTTGCTGAGATTAGGAGTGGATTGATGGAATTGGGGATGAAAAAGGAGCCTGGTTATAGCATGATTGAGGTTCAAAAAAAGCTCCATTTTTTCTTTATGGGGGATAACATGCATGAAGAAACTGATAAAATATATGAAGTTATCAAGGATTTGAATTGTATATTAAAAGATTCTATTTCTTTCTAGCTACTTTTTCTGATCAAAAGGGTTATTCTTCCAGCAAGTATCATATTTTTTTATGATAGCATAAATTTTTTGTGAGTTCATTAGCTGATGTGGATCTTTTTTTTTTTTTTTGGTTGAGGAAAATTATTAGTTTGAATTGTTGTTAGCTGTAGTCGTGTGATTAATGTTTATATTTGTGTGTAGAAATGCAGCTGTTATAAAGTCTAGTAAGGATACAAGATATGGATTGGATTCAATTGTGACACATGATGGGGAGAAGCTTTCATGTTGGCCACTTGAAGCTTTATCATCATTCAAAGAAAGAATTGGTCTTGAAGCTTATCATAAGGTTAGTTACACTTTTGGTCCCTGTATTATATCAACTTTATTGGATATGGTCCAAAAAAAGAATATTTTTTGCCTTTTTCGTCCGTATTTTGCTTTTTTATTACCTTTCTAGTTTTGAGCCGTGTGATTTAACATCTCGGCTCATAAACTTTTGAAAGAAAATACCATTTTGCCCTTGTCTTTTTCTATTTTCTTCATCTTTTTTGTCCTCTTTTAGTTTTACCTTAAATCAAAACAAATGGAGTAATTTTTAGTCTTTTGGTAGATGTTTAATGATTTTTTTTTTTTTTTTTAATAATGTGTGATGATAGCTAGAGGTGATTGGAATTGATGAAGCTCAGTTTTTTGAAGACTTGTATGATTTCTGCATTAAAGCTGCTGACCATGATGGCAAAACTGTAATTGTTGCTGGCTTGGATGGTGATTATTTGCGGTAATTTTTATTTTTTTCCATTTGTGGTAATTCAACATTTTTATTTTATTCATTTATTTTTTCAATTTGGTATTTTTCAGGAGGAGCTTTGGGGTGCTAGATATAATACCGATTGCAGATACTGTAACGAAATTAAAGGCACGATGTGAGGTGTGTGGGAAGCCTGCTTTTTTTACTTTAAGGAAAACAGAGGAAACAGAGAGAGAAGTAGTGGCTGGTGCTGACGTGTACATGCCTGTTTGTAGAAACCATTATTTGACTGGTCAAAAGGTCAAACAGTCTGCAAGAAATGTTCTGGAAACACATAACCTTCAATGTGGCTCATTCTTATAGTCAATTTACTCATTCATTCATGGAATATCTGTAAAAACGTGCTTACTCTTTCCTGACATTCAACCCTTGTATTGTATTGTATAAAAACTTACGTACGTGTTTTCTATATTTAATGGGATGTTGTATGGAAATTACAAACCAAAATTCAATGGATATATTTATTATAAGAAAGTGAAATATATTGATGTTGTTACTAATTTCATATAAAAAATACATCAACAGTTATATAAAAGGTTTAATTCCATAATGGATTGAAAATTTTGTGAGCACTACATCTTTATATCAAATATCTAATGGGGCATAGTATGTCAGATTTACTTCTCTGTTGCTAGAAGAATAATCGTTTGCTACAAAAAAAAATAAAAAAAAAATATATATATATATATATATATATATATATATATATATATATATATATATATATATATATATATATATATATATATATATATATGATGCAATGTTCATCTTCTTCAAAAATTAAAATGATTCCATTAAGATGGCTTCTATTTACATGGAAGTGATGGACAACCATTGTCGTCTTTTATATGATTTATACCTCTCGTGGTTTTGAAAGTAAGATATTGCAATAGATTTTTACATTGCTTTGTTTATATAAAAGAAATATATTAACTTGATTGGTTTTACAAGAATAATTCTTGTGGTTTTGATGAGTAGGCGTTGAAATAAATCTCTAAATTGTGTTGTTTGTACTCGTAGATATAATTTTTTGTTTTTGTAAAAGAAATTATATTATGAATTGGTTTTTAAATTAATAACTATTATCAATAGATTTGTGAAAGTCTCATTATTTAAAAATTAAATTTTACTCTATATTATGTTTGGAGTCGTTAACAACAAAGGAAGATGTTGGAATATTGTTTTCAGTTGATGTGGCAACTACGGTGTTCTTCGCTTCCGACCCAGATATGAGCTCTCTGCGATCCTACTATCATCACCACACGCATTTTCATGTCAATCCTTCAAATCATGTTGAAAAGATCAAGTTTTTCATCAACCCATCTTCTCCAAATCCTAAAATCTCTAAACAAAACCCAAATTTATCCATTTTCTACTTCAAACGGCAATGGAAGTTGTTCAGAGTCTGAAACCGATTGGGGGAAATTGCTTAAACCTTTCGACATTGAACAACTCAGGGAATCGCTCCATAGAATCACCCCACTTCAGCTTCAAAAATTACTTCACCTTCCACTTGATGTATCAACTTCACTTGAAATATTCAATTCCGCCGGTACCCAAAAAGGCTACGCTCATACGTTCGACGTGTATTACGCATTAATCGATAAGATTGGAGCGGTTGGAGAATTCAAGACCATCGATAGATTGTTGATGCAGATGAAAGACGAAGGGATAGTTTTTCAAGAAACCCTTTTCGTTATGATCATGAGGCATTACCAGAGAGCCGATTTACCTGGTCAAGCCAGGAGATTGCTTTTGGTAAAAATGCGAGACGTTTTCTTGTGTCAACCGACCTCCAAATCGTATAACGCCGTTCTGGATATACTCGTCCAAGGAGGTTGCTTCAAAGACGCACCCAAATTGTTCGACGAAATGCTTGAAAGAGGCATCCCTCCTGATGTCTTCAGTTTTGCGATTGTAATGAAAGCACATTGCTCCATTAACGAAGTTGATTCCGCATGTACTCTCCTTAGACGCATGACAAAGTACGGATGTGCCCCAAACTCAAAAGTTTACCAGACCCTGATTCACGCATTATCCAAAGATAATAGAGTAGATAAAGCGTTAACACTTTTGGAAGAGATGATAGTCATGGGTTGTACACCTGATCTTGAAACTTTCAACGATGCTATTCATGCTCTTTGTAGATCAAATCGAATCCATGAAGCTGCAAAATTAATGGATAGGATGCTTCTTCGTGGGTTCACTCCAAATGCCCTAACTTATGGGGTTCTAATCCATGGATTATGTCGAAATAAGCAAGTGGAAGAAGCTAAAACCCTAATTACTAAAGTTCATGAACCAAATAGCATCATGTACAACATGTTAGTAAACGGGTTTATTGCAAAAGGGCAGTTTGATGAAGCTAAAGCAATTGTGAGTGAAAAGATGTCCATTAATGGCTGTCATCCCGATATTCATACATACACTTCACTCATTCATGGTCTTTGCAAAACTGGGCATTTGGTTTCAGCTCATGATTTGATGAATGAAATGGAATCAAAAGGTTATGAGCCCAACACAATCACTTACACAATCTTGATTAATGGATTTTGTAAGAATCAAAGATTTGATGAAGCAAGTGAGGTGATTCAAGAAATGTCACAAAAGGGGTTGAGTTTAAACACAATTGGATACAATTCAATCATACATTCGTTATGTAAGTATGGTGATGTCTATAAAGCTGTAAACTTGTTTGAAGAAATGCGTATGAATGGATGTAAACGCGACATTTTCACTTTCAATTCACTAATATTTGGGTTATGTGAGATTGAAATGATTCAACATGCATTGAGAATGTGTCAAAAAGACATGGTGTTGGAAGGTGTTGTTGCGGATACTGTAACTTACAACACTTTGATTCGTTCTTTTCTTAAACAAGGTTTGATTAATGACGCTTTTAACCTTGTAGACACGATGTTATTCCATGGATGCTCACTTGATGAAATCACATATAATGGCCTAATAAAAGCTTTATGCAGAGATGGAGCTGTTGAAAAAGCATCCGATGTTTTTGGGAAGATGAGGGAGAAGGATTTCAATCAAACTACTGTTTCTTGCAATCTTTTAATGAATGGATTTGTTAAAACTGGAAAACTACAAAAGGCGTTTGATTTTTTACAAGATATGGAGAATTCAGGGATGATTCCTGATATTGTGAGTTATAATACTTTAATTAGTGGATTATGCAAGATGAGAAATGTGGAAGAAGGTATGAAGCTGTTTGAAGTTTTGGAGTTGAAAGGTATGAGTCCTGATGTGATTACTTATAATACTTTGATATCTTCGTATTGTAAAGAAAGCATGTTTGATAAAGCGTATTTGCTTTTAAGTAGAGGTGTTGTCAAAGGGTTTGTACCTAATCATGTAACATGGTATATATTGGTGTCTAGTTTGTTAAAAGAGCTTCAATGATCTATAGATAGATTTATGCATTTAGAATGGCAATTAGTGTAAGAGTTATAAGTTATATACATTTTTTTTTTGTTTTCATTTCTTTCTTTTGATGCTTTTGAACACTTGCATGTAACTTATTGCTAGACATGGTGCAAACTTCCATCCACCTCCTCTCTTCTCTTTATATGTTTTAGTTTCATCATTTCTTTGTAAAGAATAAAAATTATAAATTTTAATCATTCATTTATAAATTATCAACAACAATATTTGGTCTTATCGGTTGCGTTGGTTATTCTGACCAACTAATTTTTGTATGTATGGATGTATAAATTGTATGTATAGATGTAATCATTATTATAATAACAATATATCGATACTGTAGAGAACAAAAAATTATGAATTTTGATACAGAATGTCTGTCAATCTAGATCTTGATTGGGTGTGATATCAACCTCGATTGAACTAATTCCAGGAGACTTTTGTATTCTAACTTCTTCCATCTTCTTCCTAACATTTACAACTTCTTCCCACCTTTTACCTTCACAATATATATCGGATAACAACACATAATTTCCATCATCATAGCCTTCTAGTGCCATTATTTTCCTATTAACATCTTCACCTATTTCAACATTTTTATGAATCTTACATCCCCCAAGAAGCCCTCTCCAAACCACCACATCCGGTTCAAAAGGCATATTCATGATTAAATCTTTGGCTTTATCTAAATGTCCTGCACGACTCAAAATATCAACCATGCAACCATAATGTTGTTGGATTAATGTCTAAGTCCATAACTATTTTGGTATGTACTTGACCTGATGGTGCATGGTCCTTTTGGGTTGCCTTCACCAAAGCAACTTGATAGGATGAATTATGAAGAGAAAGGATTAAATATGATTTATTAATATATTATGGGAATAATATATTAAAGGAAAAATCATATTGTTTAATTAATATTAGTCAATAATTAATTACTATTAGTTTTGTGACTAAAAAAGATTAATTAAACTTAAGGGACTGGAATTGTAATTATAAGATAATTATAATTTGGGCCATGGATTGCCTTATATTAAAGGGTGGACGAATTCTATGGGGGAAGCCCATATGAAATTGTCCAAGGCTTAAGGAAAAGGCTCCATGGGTTGCTTAGGGCTTAAGCATCCAAATTAGGGTTTCCTTGTTAGAAAACCCTAATAGCCCAATTATATAAAGATCCCTTAAGGCTCAAAAACGTGGCTAAGCTTAGTGTTAGGGTTTCACACAGTTTTTGGCAGCCTCCAACTTCTCTCCTCTTCATCCTCTTGCTTATGGTGTTTGTGAACCATTAGAGGAGTGACACTTGTGACTCTAGGCCTTCCAAAGTCAATACAAGGAGATTTGGGATTGTTATTGCTACATAACAATCAAGGTAACATCTTAAACCTAATTATATGTTAATGTTGATTTCCATATGCTAGAATTAGGGTTTATAGTCTTGGATTCAAAGCATGTACAATAGAGAAACCTAGATCCAAGCTTTAGGGTTTGTATGAGCACATAGGATGTCTTATGACCAAAACCCATCAGTGGTATCAGAGCCTTGATTGGTTTCTATTGTATTGATGCATATTTGATCGAAATAAGCACTGAAAATCGATTTTTTGAGCTTCTGAGTGTTTGACTCGCCGAGTCACTTGGTGAACTCGCCGAGTCATCTGTACTCGACGAGTCCAGGTCCAGACTCAACGAGTCAAAGGGTCTGACAGCTCAGATTCGCGATTTTCTTCCTGTTTTGGCTTTGGATAATTACCATAAACATGTTTTTGTGATAAAATCCGAATTTTTTCAATATTAGGTGATTATCCTTACCTAAATAGAAGATAATTGTTAAAATTTAGATAATCACTTTTTTTATTAGATAAAGTTTGATTATTTGTAATTTAGATTTTAATTATCTTGTGAAAAAGTTTTAATTTTTCCCCTTTAGGTTTTATAGTTTAAATTTGAACCCAAAAGTTTTGTTGTTTTGAAATTTAAATAGTTAAAACCTTAATGTTTTGAAAAAGGTTTCAAAACTTGCCCTCATGTTTTGGAATTTAAAATTTGATTAAGAGTTTAATTAGGAATGCTAAATTCTAAAACCCTAGTAATGTTTTGAAAAGTTCAATTTACACCCTTATGGTTTTATTAATTAATTAAGGTGTATAATTAAAGGAGGTTTAATAAATCCATAAAAGTTTAAGTTTACAATTTAATTGAATTAAAAGTATAATTGTTGAATTAGACCACCTAGTATTTTAAAAGTGTAAAATACACCCTATATATATAACATTAAAGGTCTAACATTATATATATATATATACATATATATATATATATATATATATATATATATATATATATATGTATGAGTAAAAGTCAGTCTTACCGTTAGTATGCCTCATTCACAAAGCTGGTCTATAAGGGGTGTTTAAGGAAATTGCCTATAATATGGCGATTGAATGGGTATCCACTCTTACCCACCGCACTCTTGACTAGTGGAGGGTCGTTAGCCGAACGGGTAGGATAGGACGAAACCTTCCATTATAAGTATAATGAAATACAAAGTAACTAAATGTTTTTCAAATTCCCAATCTTAGTTACTTAGGCAAAGTGAATTGATGCAATTCCATGAAATTACACTTTGTGCCCTTGCGAAGACGTTAGTGGAGCGTGTGTGGTTTACCGGCACACTAAATGGTTCTAAGCAAAGGTTGCAAAGGGTGACTCAATGTTTTTCATAGTTCGGTGGAGCGTGTGTGGTTTACCGGCACATCGAATAGGTGACTGTAACATGTGAGGGCACCATGTAAGTTTGCATGGTCATTCACACCTGCTTTGTGATCCTCGACATCCCAGTCACAAAAAAGAGGGGCATATCGAGATTTAAACATGCCATTGAAATGTTCAATGAATCTCAAAGGTTCTAGGAGTTTTCATAGATTTAAAACTTAAATTTCTTTTTCGTTTTTCATGGTGGAAATTAGTGAATCGTCATTCACTTACCTTCAAATATTCTGCAACTAGATTACGGCATCCCTTTTCTAGGTTGTAGCGTATTGTGTTGGGTCCTAGCCTTAGTATCTCATTTGGGTGATTTACTAAGGACTCAATCGATCAACTAACTTGAATTTGTTTTCTCCCGTTTGTGGATGTCAAAGTTCGACAACTATGGTCTTCCCAAATCCCGTGGAACAAGCATTCCACATGAAAATGATATTCCACGATTCGATCGAGGAACAAGAAATCATGCTTCACTTCCTCCTCCTCCTCCAATTATTCTCCCTAAACCACAAGATTGTAAAATTGAAAGGTTCAATATCACTCAAGCCCCTTTGGCAAGTAAACATAAAGAAGGAAAGTCGGTGTGTGCACACGTCTTAGGGATGAAGTCACACATTGATAGGATCCGTTGTCGGTGAAGAAATGGCTGTTGATTGGGTTCTTCAGTCACTTCCTAACTCGTATAGTGAGTTCATAAGAGAGTACTATATGATGAACCACGACGTGACCCTTATTGATCTCACCTACATGCTTATTGCTGCTGAATCATAAATGTTTTGGCGCAATAGAAAAGCAAAGTTGATTGGTGAATCTGCCTTCAAGACCTCTATAGATATAGACAATGGCAATGAAAGACATGCAATGATCGAAAAGTTTGATCATAAGAGAAAGGCGATGTCTGAAGTAGTTCCATGTGTTGTTCCAAAAGAGTCAATTTGCTTTTATTGCCAAGAGAAGGGGCATTGGAGACGAAGTTGCCCTATTTACCTAAGAGATCTAAGAGATGAGAGATTCAAAAGTGTGACTGCGCTTCAGGTAAAATCCACTATCTAACTCCGATTAAGTTCCTATTCATTGATTCTTAATACATGATGTGATAAGATTGCATTTGAATGTTTTGAAGGATCGGTGAAAAGAAAGGAAGCTTGATAAGAGAGCAAGATGAATCTAATCACAAGAGATGGATCTCGATCGCATGGACTTGAAGATTGGATTTTGAGCTTAGATAGTTATGATAGAGTTGTTAGAAATTTTCCTTTTACATAGTTTTCAATAGATTTTGCATTGTAAGGACAAATGTTTTTCCGCTGCTTTTATAAATAAAATAAATTTTGTTTGACTTATTTATTTATTTGTTTACTTCCTTGCAATGAAATCGTTATGAAAATTGATGTTTGCATATTTCTACAACGAATGGATATGATTCTTAGTTATGTTATTTATGGAAATGTCGAGAATTTACCAAATAGGGAGAGTTTCTCATCGCCCAAAGTTTCAATTGGACTGAAATTTGGAATCACGCAACTTGGTTGCATGATGAATGAGAAATTTCATATTTGGAAATTAGACAAATTCGTTGACAAAGTGTCAAGTGAAGGACTAGGAGATCGAGTACACAAAGTTGTGTGTTGATCAAGTTCACCATAAGAGTAACAAAGATATTCGTCATGATTTACTAAAGGCTTAGTAAATATGATTACACTTACAAGATTAAGTGTAATTCTGAATTGATTAAAGGGTTTAGATCAATAGTAGAACGAATAAGAAGAATCAAGTAGGCAGAAAATAAAAGTTTCTCCATTCTAAGAAGAAGGGAGAGTAGCTTTTATGCTTTATGATAGGTCTTAATGATTAAGAACCATATCTCAATTGATCCTCTAAGTGAGTCTTAGTACAATTGTATGTTTAAGAAGAGGAATCAAGAATTGAAGAAATGGTTAAATCAAAAGTCAATCATACTTCGTTCAATAACAAGTCTTAAAGTTAAGATTGTGACAATGAGTGAAAAGTATTAAAGGTTTATAACATTCATCAAATGTGGAAAGTTGTGATGTCTTGGATAAGACAAAGCCAACTAGGACCAATTTATGAAGTGTTTTGATAAAGCTACACTAACTCTTGAATATTTGTTTTGTCAAGAAATGTTATTGACAAGAGAATCTTATATGTCAAGGAGTCAGTGGGAGTCTTAATGGTCTTGAAAGGTTTCAAGAACAAATCAAATGAACCTTATCGGTCATCACTAGCACACGAGTTGAGGTTACGAACCTATCGTGTTGATATAATTTTGTTTCTGTGCTGCTCCAATTGAGTTAATTATGCATGTGAGTCCTATGAGTTCTCATTTTGAACGCGTAAAAGGCAAAGCACCTTAATCAATGAAAGGTACATTGATAGGAAAAGGTGAGCTGCTTAACTACTTGGAAGACGTGGTGGGCAGCTGTGCTACCATAAGGCAAGAAATCAAGATTAAGAAAGTTCGGTCTATATGAGTTTGAATTTGTCATAAACTTTGTTTTTAACAAATTCACATGGATAGGAACATATACACCATTAAAATCTAAATGTCATAAGATTTCCTCTTTCATGAAAATGATTGTGAGGAAATGCTTTCACTAAGAAAGATTTTAAGAAGATAGTGATTGTAAAATTGCATTCTCGAATTCGATTATGGTTACGGTATCCCTTTCCATAATTTGAATTGTGAGGTTTGGCAATTAGTCTTAATTGTTAAGACACACATATGAACTATCTTAGGCAAAGGTGTATAAGTTCAAGAAGCCTTGATAAAAGATTATCAAAGCACTAAGTATTAGAAATATGGACTTAAGAACTTCAATAGGTATTGTCTTTCTGAAAGTTAAGATGTTTATGAATACATGTCGAAGCTAGTGGGAGCATAAGTGTTATGTTTTATAGTAATCATCATGATAGTGGGAGCATAAAAGTTATGATTGTATGATTACTATGGAAAGTTTTGCAAGTTGGCAATATTAATTATAGAAAACAAGAGTTATACATTGCAAAGTCGTAAAGGTTGTATAGTTGTTTTGCTATAATTAAGGGAGAGAATATTATGCTTCATTTCAAATCTAAAGGCTTAGGTTGAGAAATGTTAATAAATTTAGTCAAAGGTACATGGTGTGTTCTTAAAATTTCGATTATGATTACAGAATTCCTTTTCACAATTCGAATTTTGAGAACATAGCAAATAAAACATTGTGCATCGTGTCCCATACACTTCGGGTATAGGATCGATTGCAGATGCTTTAATGTTTGACCATTCTAAAATTTTCCAAATGTCTAGCGCATTTAGAGGGAAAAGGGACTAGAATTGGTTTTGACTAAAATAATTAAACAACTATTAAAGGACAATCCAAAGTTCGACGAAGATTGGTTGCTTGTGAGTAGTTGGAAGCATGGTATTGGATGGACCATATTGACATTATTATGAATAGATAAGATTCTATTAAGAAATGAGTCATCATATGGAACATTTGGAAGCGTGTCCATACTAGGAAGTAAATATTGAAAATTTATGACTAGATTAGAAACCTTTATGCAAAAGGATGTTCAAAGGAATGTACTTTGAGTGAGAGACATCGTATCTAAGGAATTGTCTTGTAACAATCTCCGTTAGACGACTTTGTAATATCATTGGCAATAGTTTTGTGACTTTGGTGCAGTGACATTACGAAAGAATCATTGCATAAAATGTTAGAATCTAGCATATTCTATAAGTGGCAAGAATTTGATATTCTTAAACTTATGAAAAATGGATTTGGAGTTGTGAAATGAGAATGATTGGAAATGTGTCCAATGTGATCTATTTCACAAAGTAAGAACCATAGGTAAACATTGTGTGCATGCTAGGAGCATGGGACAAGTGTAATAATTCAAGTAAGAAGTTGATTACCCGAAACGATAAATAATGAGTAATCGATATGGTGATAAATAAAAGGTGTTTTATTTATGCTCAAAGGGTTGAGGCCATATGGGATTAGTATTATTCTTGTGTTTCACTTTGCATGTTTTGACTTCCAGAATAATGGAGTTTATTAAGAATAATCAAATTATTCAAACGGGCCACAGTCGTTCATATGTTGGAAGTAGATATGAATGAAGACTGTCGTGAATTGATGTGTAGATTGTCTAAAAGAGTATTAGACATAAGCAAATGTTTGATGCAACATTCATGAGTGCTTATGAATATGAATTTGAGCATTGGATTAAACCCACGTTCACTTGGATCACTCCATGAATTGTATCACGAGTGATTGGTGAGTCGATAACATCTTATATTCTTGAAACCGAGATGTGTGAGTTGTATCTTACTAATCGGTTGCACATTGATAATATGTAAACGCACTAGTAACTTGGTGTTATAAAACATATTGTTGTATGTGATTTGGTTAGTGAGTGCAAGCAAGCATTGTATCAAAGTTTATCCGTTCCTTTTATCCAAAGAAGGATAAAAGCGATATCTTTGGGCCCCTCGATGGTTTAGTGATGACAAACGTAAATGCTCGACCGGGCTAGGGATAATTTGATTTGTTCAATTAGTCAGTCGTCATAAATCGGAAATTGAGATATAGTACAAAGAGAATGATTAGAAATCATATCTCAGACGATATCTAGAATGGAGGAATATATGATCCCTTATCTAAGGACACGCGTATCTGATAGGATCAGAGTTGACAGCGGCTTTGGAAAGCTACGATTGCAGATCAGGATCTGAAGTCATACGCATAATAGTTATTAGACTTATCCAAGTGGGAGACTGTTGGATTAGTGTCTAAGTCCATAACTATTTTGGTATGTACTTGACCCGATGGTGCATGGTCCTTTTGGGTTGCCTTCACCAAAGCAACTTGATAGGATGAATTATGGAGAGAAAGGATTAAATATGATTTATTAATATATTATGGGGAATAATATATTAAAGGAGAAATCATATTGTTTAATTAATATTAGTCAATAATTAATTGGTAATTAGTTTTGTGACTAAAAGAGATTAATTAAACTTAAGGGACTGGAATTGTAATTATAAGATAATTATAATTTGGGCCATGGATTGCCTTATATTAAGGGGTGGACGAATTCTATGGGGGAAGCCCATATGAAATCGTTTCAAGGCTTAAGGAAAAGGCTCCATGGGTTGCTTAGGGCTTAAGCATCCAAATTAGGGTTTCCTTGTTAGATAACCCTAATAGCCCAACTATATAAAGACCCCTTAAGGCTCAAAAACGTGGCTAAGCTTAGTGTTAGGGTTTCACACGGTTTTTGGCAGCCTCCAACCTCTCTCCTCTTCATCCTCTTGCTTATGGTGTTTGTGAACCATTAGAGGAGTGACTCTTGTGACTCTAGGCCTTCCAAATTCAATACAAGGAGATTTGGGATTGTTATTGCTACATAACAATCAAGGTAACATCTTAAACCTAATTATATGTTAATGTTGATTTCCATATGCTAGAATTAGGGTTTATAGTCTTGGATTCAAAGCATGTACAATAGAGAAATCTAGATCCAAGCTTTAGGGTTTGTATGAGAACATAGGATGTCTTATGACCAAAACCCATCAAATGTTCCATTTCTTGTGTTAATCCATATACATCACTCATGGAGTTAAAGTATTCCCACCCTTTATCCACTAAACCAATATGACTACAAGCACTTAAAACACCTATAAAAGGTGACACCATTTGGTTTAACTCCTTCATTTATCATATTGTTGAAATGATCGAGTGCAAGATCGCCATACCCATGGTTTGAAAACCCCATGATCATAACACTCCATTAGAACACATCTTTCTTTTTTATGCCATTGAAAACTTTCAACGCAGTGTTTATATCTCCACATTTTGCATACATGTTGACAAGGGAAGTTGCAAGCTTTATGTCTATTTCAATTCGGTTTTGAATTATGTACTTGTGAACTTTCATGCCTGTAGTTAAAGCACATAAATCTCCACATGCGGATAACACACTCACAATTGTGATTTTATCAGGTAAAAAGTTAGCTAATTGCATATCATGGAAGAGATTCAAAGCCTCGTGAGACTGCTTGCTCCAAGAAACCAAATCTTTATCTCCATGGGGAAGTGAGGCATAACCATGGATCATGATGTTCCATGAAACCAAGTCTCTTTGAGACATTTGATCAAACAGTTGGCGTGCTAAACTTATTTCCCCAATGCTCACATACTCAGCTAGCATTACATTATACGAAACCAAGTCTAGATCTTTCATTTCACCAAACACCTTCCTCGCAAATTCTATCCACCTGAATTTCACGTACATTTCAGTGAGACCCGTCTGGACAAAGAGATCATTCCCAAAACCAAGTTTCAATACCTGGGTATGTATCATTTGACCGTTTTGAAGAAAATCCGACCTCCCACACGCTCAAACCACAAGAGAGAGGCTGAAACTGTCTATAAAGTGGTGATCTTGGCGATGTAACTGGTGAAATAAAGACAAACATTCGTCGTGGTTTTCGGAATTTAAGTAAGATCTGATCATGGTGTTCCAAACAAATGTGTCTGGACATGGCATTTCGTCAAAAAGGGATCTGGCATAAAGCAAATTGTTTGAATAATTCAAAGAGAAATTCCGAAGCAGCTTGGTGATGATGAAGTTGTCGGATTGTAAGGAAGTTTTTAGAAGGAATGCATGGATTTGGAAGATAATATGGAGTTCTTTTGAGTCGTGAATTACGGACATGACTTTTTGTTTGATGGTTTTCAAGGGAGAGTAGGAGAGCATCGCGATGAATCCCATTATGTTTAACTTTACCTTCATTACTTATCGAATATTTATGGTAAATCAACTTGAACACATAAAGAAAATAAAAAATGTTTGTATTTAATGTTTATATTATAGCAATTATTTTTATTTTGTTAGATATAAGATTTCGGAATAACAATAGGATATTGTTTGGATTGTGATTAATTTACTTTTATTCGTCTATTATTGTCTGCGTTTATACAATTTCAGAAGTAGGATAATCCAAAAAAAATTTATTTGTATTAAAGGTCTAATCCTAGGGCTGTAAACGAACCAAACGAACACGAACAAGGTCTTGTTCATATTCGTTCGTTTAAGTTAGTAAAACAACAAACGAACACGAACGGATAAACAAACGAGATTTTCTTGTTCATGTTCGTTCGTTTAACAAATTACTTAGTTCATGTTCGTTCATTTATGTTCGTGAACATGCTAAACGAACATAAACGAACAAAGATAAAAAAAAACACAATTAAACATGTATGAACATAAACGAACATATAATATAGCAATATAATAAAAATAATTGAATATAGATGAATATAAATAAACTTAAACGAACGAACATAAACGAACGTAAATGAACATCGTAAACGAACGTTCACGAACATAAATGAACGAATGAGATCATTGTTTATGTTCGTTCATTTAACTAAACGAACGATAATTTTTGTTCATGTTCGTTCATTTATTAAATAAACGAACATAAACGAACTTCCCGCTGAACAGTTCACGAACGGTTCGCCGAACGTTCAGTTCGTTTACAGCCCTACCTAATCCAAAATCATAAAATATAAGGAAGGTCAACCCTTAGACCAGTTGATGTTTTGATTTTGGGATGGGTTGGAAGGAAACATGTATGCATGGACCTTTCAGGGGTATCCCCTCTCGTAGGCTTGAGAGTCAGGGGTTTCACGGTGGGACAGACTGCATTAAAAGCTGTCACATGTAATGTCACCAAACATGAGAAATCGTGCAAGGAAAATCAACACGTGTTCATACCATTTGCATTTTATACGTTCGATTTTCTTGTGTCGGATGCAGTGAAGCTTCTTAATAGATTATAACGGATCATGCATAACAATGTTATATCTCCTTAGATCTGTGGATGTAGTCTTCAAGAGAATTGGGTTTGCCATACAAAAAAGCTTAGCGGCACAACTTGTTGTCTGTTTGCCTTCTTATTTGTTGTACGATGATAACTAAGATGTTTTCTCAATAATTTTTCAACTTAAAATACATAAAAATACTTTGTGATGATTTGTGTTCTTGAGATACAGAGAATTGCAAAGAGAAAGAGAAGATACAGAAGATAGAGACAATTTTTCTGATTCGTTGTATCTTTACTACAACGGTAACATCTTGGTCGTCGACAGTTGTATGAAAAGAACTTCATACCTGTCCCATTCTTTTGGACTTAATAAATGGGTTATTTAACAAGAAACTTCATGAGATCAAAACTCGAATAAAAAGCCAAATTCAAATTTCGACACCAATAGACGATACTAAAAAAACTTGTTTTAGCCAATAAGAAAAATTTCTCTTTAATTATTATAGCCTACAGTTAGTTATTTTTTATATATTAATATATTTTAAAATTCTCTATCACTATAAAATTGAAAATTACAGTTAAACATTTTCTTTTAAGTCATAACGTTATAGTAAAAATATAAAGATAAATAATTCAAATTACGTTCCTATTTTTGCATTTACTGCTAACATATTTATAAAGAAAAATTAAATATTCTTCTACTTTTGTTCCTACAAATTCTTCTATCCAATTAAATGATAACATGTGTCATTTTAGTATACTAAAATATCATTAAATGAGCATTAAATGTGACACATATTATCATTTTATTTGATAAGAAGATTTATAGGAATAAAAAATAAAAGATTTTTAGTTTCTCATTTATAAAAGGGTCAATGTGTTCCCATTTACCGAATCATGGAGGGGTGTCTATAATATATAGAGATAGTTGTGGGGCTTGTTAGTGCACTGCCGAAATAAGTGAAAGAACGCTGAAGCCGCCAAGACGATGACCGGATTAACCGGTCAACGCATTGAAGAAAAAGGTGAAAAGGGAAAAAACGGTCGGATTCCTTCTTTGGTATAAACACAAGAAAAATGGATTAGGGTTTTCGTCAGGTCAAATCGAAGGATTGCAGAAGTAGAGAAGGGAGAGCGATCTTAAAATTACGTGTTTCTCTCTCTTCATCTACTTAATTTGAAAGCTTGATTTGAAGGCTATCCATCTAATTTCTCTTCAAATCGAGGACTTTTTGGTTTCTGGTGAGTATACTTCCGATTAGATTTATGTTATTTTTGCATTTCGTGTTATATATGTTGGATTTTAACGGAATCCATAGTTCCCGTGTCATAGTCTTTGTCGATTGGAACATCAAATCGTTGATTTAGCACTAGACGTGTGTAGAAGGTAGTGTTTGGAAGCTTAGGATCCCGAGGTTTATGAATTGCGGTGTGATGAAATTGAAAATGAAGAAGCTCTCTGAGTTTCAAAAGTCAACTGTTTTGCTCGAATTACGATTCTAAAACATTTTTAAGATTTCGAAGGTGACATATGTGAAATTTACGACGTTTATGAAGATCGAAATTGGGTGTTTACTATATCTAGATTTCCATTTTTGGTATTTGGATATCACCGGAAAGATTTTGGGATTTTTTACATACTTATTTTACGGTTTATAAGGGCACATGAGAAAAATCTCTCTACTTCCTTTCCTTGATGATACCCTTTTTTCCGTGAACATTTTAAAGACTCAAATATGTAACTGTTCATTTGCTCTTGAATCATACTGTATGCAAATGTTTGACTTATCATCTTCAATTACAATCATGATGATTCATTCTGAATATTAAAACTAAATCTCCCTATGTGTTTGTTAATCACATCAGTAATCAATGTTGCCGCCACGTCAGCAACCAAAGTCCGGGGTCCTCCACACATCTCTAACTCTGGTTCCAGGTGAAGCATGTGGATCTCCCAACATTCAAGAACGTGGCTCAAATTCAGACCAAATCCGTGATTCACCAACCGAAAGTGCAAGTTCCCGTGAAACCTGGCCCACACCCGACCCATTAACAATATCCAAACCACTAGAAGCCGAACATTCTGTCATCCGCCATATAACTGACAAAATGTCCCTTAGAGACATTTCAAGAGAAAGAGTCGATATAATCGCAGATAGAATGCATCATCTTCCCAACGATTATTTAGACAAGCTAAAAAACGAACTCCGTGGTCTAATCGAAGGAATGGGTGTTCATCAACAATGAGAAGAATACATTTTCCTTCAAAAAATGGTTTTGAGTCATGGTGATTTGACCGAAAAGACCATTGTTTTAGCTCACCGAGGACAGTTAGAAATCTTGGTCGCTATAAAGACTGGAATCCAAGCTTTCCTTCATCCAACTGTTAGTCTATCTCAAGCTTCTTTAATCGAAATCTTTTTATACAAAAGATGTAGAAACATCGCGTGTGGAAACCAGATCCCTGCTGATAACTGCATGTGTGTGATCTGTAGCAAGTTTGATTTTGAGGTGAATACGTGTCGTTGGATTGGGTGTGATGTGTGTTCTCATTGGACACATACGGATTGTGCAATACATAATGCACAAATTGGGAATGGTGGGAGTTTGGGGGAGATGGTTTTTAGGTGTAGGGCGTGTATGAGGACATCTGAATTGTTTGGATGGGTGAAAGATGTGTTTCATCATTGTGCTCCTTTGTGGGATCGAGAGGCTTTGGTTAGAGAACTTGAATATGTGAGTAGGATTTTTCAAGGGAGTGAAGAAGTTAGAGGGAGGAAATTGTATTGGAAGTGTGGAGAACTTGTGGAAAAGCTGAAAACTGGGGTAGCAGAACCTGTCGCTTCAAAGGCAATACTCTCGTTTTTCCAAGGTAATCAATATTCTCATGTAGTTTTTTTTAGTAAATTACACAAATGGTCCTTATGGTTTGGGGTAATTTGCACGTTTGGTCCATAACTTATTTTTTTTAACTTGGAAGGTCCCTACTGTTTGTTTTTGTTGCACGCTTGGTCCCTGTCTTACGTAAACACACCCCTACCCCACTTCCGCCTCACATTACCTTACCTTACCTACCCCAACTTATTTAAGTAAATCAAAAAATCAAGGGCAAAGTACTCTTTTTATGTAAGATAGGGACCAAGCGCGCAACAAAAACAAACTGTAGGGACCTTCCAAGTTAAAAAAATAAGTTACGGACCAAACGTGCAAATTACCCCAAACCATGAGGACCATTTTTGTAATTTACTTTTGTTTTTTTTTTCTACTGAAATATTTAATTAGTTAATTTGATTGTAGTTTTCATTTTATAAGGTCAAATATCATAATTCGGCAATTATCCATGAAAAATAACTAGTCTGATATGGGATAAGAGATCACTCTTCATGGTCAAATATCATAATTCCGTAGTAATACATCGGAAAAACTTAGAAAAATAGAGAAAGGAGAAAATAATAATAATAATAGTTATCGTTATAATAATTAGAAAATCAATATTGAAGTTTAATGGTATAATCGGGATGGAATATAGTTTAATTGCTTTGTATTTGGATGATATTGCTATAATTGGGTTTATCTTTTAAAGTACAACGCCATAATAGGAAAAAACAAAAGTAGGCTGCTGTAAAATGTCAATGAAAGTACATTGCAATTATTGTATTTTACCCTAAAAAGGATTAAAAGTAGGAAGCTATTACATATTTCCCTCCCTTTAAACATTTGATAATGTTAAGGTTGTTTTAACACAATTAAGGCAATGTCATCCAAATACAAATGAAATTTTCACGATAGATTCTTCAAAGTGTAATGTCCTAATTAAAAGTACAATGCTATAATTGGGTAGAATATTGAAGTACAATGTTTAAATAATAGGAAAAACTTAAAATAGGAAATGAAAGTACATTGCCATTTATTGCAGAGTTTGACATAGACCCCCGAAAACACGAAGAAAGTGGCGGGGTAATGGCCCCACAAGAAGAATTCAACCGAATAGCAGACGTGGTCCAAGAATCCATTAAAAAAATGGAAATGGTGGAAGAAGAAAAAGTGCGAATGACAAAAAAAGCACGTTTGGCACTGGAGGCATGCGATCAAGAACTGAAAGACAAAGCGCGTGAAGTAGCCGCCTTAAAAATGGAAAGACAAAAAAAGAAGCAACAAGTGGAGGAGCTCGAATGAAACGACCCAAAAATAAAACCCAAAAATTTCGTTTTTCGATATAATCAAAACCATAATCAGAGTGTCATATAATAAAACCATACGTGATGTATTCCAACATAATAGAAAACACTGTGCGCAAACTGTATCATACTACAGCAAATCAAAACAAACTAAATCAATCCCAAGCTAAAAGCTAAAGCTGTGGTGTGTGCGACGCCGTCACCCCGAGCTCTTCCCTTTGCTTGCGGAAGTACCTGAAACCAAAACTGAATCTGTAAGCACGAAGCTTAGTGAGCTCCCCCAAACTACCACATACCATACAATAACATATAAACACATATTGGGCCTTGCCCACTGCATCGGGCCGAAGCCCGAAAACTGCATCGGACCGAAGTCCGGAACTGACTGGGACCTTGTCCCCTGCATCGAATCGAAGTCCGGAACTAACTGCATCGGACCGAAGTCCGGAACTGACTGGGACCTTGTCCCCTGCATCGGACCGAAGTCCGGAACTAACTGCATCAGACCGAAGTCCGGAACTAACTGCATGGGACCAATGTCCGAACTAACTGCATCGGACCGAAATCCGGAACCGACTGCATCGGACCAATGTCCGGAACTAACTGCATCGGACCGAAGTCCGGAACTGACTGACTGAACATGGCATAGCATAACACATCAACTAGCATAAACACATATACGGCATACTACATCGGGCCGTAGCCCGGAACACATAATACTTAACGCATAAAACATAGCACACAAATCCTGTTCGAGCCACGAAGGCATCGAACATACTAGCTACTGCATCGGACCTAAATCCGGAAACTACTGCTAACTGAACGGGCCGGCATTGTGGCCTTAGACCCGTTCCTACTGGAAGGAAACTCACCTCGTAAGCTGGCTGCTGAGGGTGAGGCTCGGGAAGCTAATGGCTGCTGCTCCTGAATCTCCTCGGCTACAAGTCCATAAACACACTCAATCAATACTAAACACTGCACTTGGGGTAAAATGACTCTTTTACCCTTGGTCAAAGTTACACTCATTTGGACTGACTCTCCGAGTTGGGCCACCCAACTCGCCGAGTCCTACTCTCACTTTTCACTCTTACTCGCTGCTACTCGTCGAGTCTGGCATCGACTCGACGAGTACCCTCTTGATCCAAGAACTCAGACAATCTTCATCCGACTCGCCGAGCCGGATGAACAAACTCGACGAGTTGTTCTTGATCTTAAGGAGATTGCCTTGGACTCGCCGAGTTGATGAACAACTCGCCGAGTCCCTCCATCACTGAGTTTACCCTCAACTCGCTGAGTCCACTCTCTAGCTCACTGGGTTCACTCGACACTGGTAAAAATGAAGGAATCGGGAACTCGCGACCCAACTCGCCGAGTCGTTCTTCCCGACTCGCCGAGTTGCCGCCATGCAACTGATTTTTACTCGATTTTGTTTGAATCCAACACATACAATTGATAGATCTGGGTCCAATAAGCTGATTTACCACGTAAAGTTTCCAACTTTACGTGTACAACCTCATGAATAAGGGAAATAAGGCTAAAAGATGCATAAAATGGGTAGATCTATGGTTAATATGCAAAGTAACTCCAAAAAGCAGTAGATCTGGGCTCTACAACACCCCATCATTCAGATCTAAAGATATCTCGGCCTATTAAGCATTCATGCAAACATAAGGCTTGGAACAAGCATCAACTAGCTCTTAGGAGAGCTCTAATGGAAGTTTAAAGCATATAACAAGAAGGAAACTCCGAAAATACCTCAATTAACTCAGATTTGCCCTTGGATCTTGCACTACAACTCTTCTCCTTGCTTCTTTCTTCTTCTCCTTCTTCAAACCTTCACAAAATGGCACAAAACACTTAGCTCACACAAGGGAGGATTAGGGTTCTTTCTCACAGTGTTCTCAGGGTGAGGGAGGCGAGAATGGGGGCTATAAGGTGGTTTAAATAGTGGGCAACCCGGGGATTTAGGGTTTCACCCAGACGGATGGACTCGCCGAGTCAGGGATATGGACTCGCCGAGTCCCCGGCTCAGCGTGCTCGAAGTCGCGACCCTACTCGGCGAGTCAGGCTAGAACTCGCCGAGTCCCTCTTGAAAACTTACAACAATTACCAATGAATTAACGTACCGGGAACGGGTCGTTACAATTCTCCCCCACTGTCTCAGACTTCGTCCTCGAAGTCTGCTACGGCATGGCAAAAATAATCCGGGTAGTGCGCTCTCATCTCCTCCTCAGCCTCCCACGTCCATTCAGACCCCTTCCGGTGCTGCCACTGCACCTTTACTAGCTGAATTACCTTGTTCCTCAAGGTCTTGATCTTCCGTTCCAGAATCGCGACCGGCTCTCAATATAATTCAGGCCGCTATCAACCTGGATATCCTCTAAGGGAACGACTGCCGTCTCATCCACCAAACACTTCCTTAACTGCGACACGTGGAAGGTGTTGTGTATCTGACTAAGCTCCTCAGGGAGATCTAACCGATAAGCAACCCGACCCACCCGGGCCAAAACCCTGAAAGGACCAATAAATCTGGGCCCAATTTGCCCCTCTTCCGGAACCTGATGACACCTTTCCAAGGTGAGACTTTCAGAAGAACCTATCTCCCACCTGGAACTCCAAGTCCGAACGCCTCCTATCGGCGTAGCTCTTCTGCCGACTCTGCGCAGTCTGCAGCCTACTACGGACCTGCTGGATCAACTCAGTCGTCTTGAGCACCACTTCGGTGCTCCCGATGACTCGCTGACCGACCTCGCCCCAACAAATCGGGGTCCTACACTTCCTCCCATACAGCATCTCAAAAGGAGGTCGATCAATACTCGCATGATAACTGTTGTTATACGAGAATTCCGCTAACGGAAGATACGTATCCCAACTGCCCCCAAAATCTAGAACACATGCCCTAAGCATGTCCTCAAGAGTCTGAATCGTCCTCTCGCTCTGCCCGTCTAGTCTGAGGATGAAAAGCGGTGCTGAAATGGAGACGATACCCATCTCGTCGTGGAACCGCTTCCAGAATCTGGACGTGAAACGAACATCTCGGTCCGACACCACCGATACCGGCACTCCATGACGTGCCACAATCTCCCGCACATAGATATCGGCTAACTTTTCCGCCGATATACTCTCCTGAATCGGAATAAAATGGCACTCTTCGTCAATCGATCCACTACTACCATATCGAGTCCACTCCACGTGCGGTCCTGGGGAGCTTGGTGACAAAATCCATGGTGATATCCTCCCATTTCCACATGGGAATGTCTAACGGCTGCATATTGCCGTGAGGTCTCTGGTGCTCCGCCTTGACCTTCCGGCAGGTCAAACATCTCTCAACATACCAAGCGACGTCCCGCTTCATGCAGGGCCACCAATAATCAGGTCGAAGATCTCGATACATCTTCGTCGCTCCTGGGTGGATAGAAAATCGAGACTTATGAGCCTCGTCCATCAATACTTGCCGTACCCCCCCCAGTACGGTACCCATATCCTACCATGAAGCGTCAACAAACCCCGACTGTCGTAATCAAATGAAGCTACTCGGCCCACTATCCTCTCACACTTCTGCCTCTCCTCCTTGAGGCCCTCCATCTGAGCCTCCTTGATCCGCTCCAACAACGGAGTGATCACTGTCATCCCATACACAGATCTCTGATAGGGGCCGTCGACACTTGCGGCTCAGGGCGTCGGCCACCACATTGGCCTTCCCTGGATGATAAAGGATCTCACAGTCATAGTCCTTCAGCACGTCTAACCATCTCCTCTGCCTCATGTTCAAACTCGGCTGATCCATAAGATATCGCAAACTCTTGTGATCCGTGTATATAGTACAGCGGACCCCATAAAGGTAATGTCTCCAAATCTTGAGGGAAACACAACTGCCCCCAGCTCCAAATCGTGGGTAGGATAATTAGCCTCGTGAGGCTTCAACTGTCTCGAGGCATAAGCTACCACATGGCTCGCTGCATCAATACTGCTCCCATACCTGTGATCGAAAGCATCACAATAGACTACGAAATCCTCTACTCCCTCTGGCAAGGTAAGGATCGGAGCCTCGCACAATCTCTGCCTGAGAGTCTCGAACACCGCCTGCTGCTCAGGCCCCCAACGAAAAACCACCGACTTCTTGGTTAGTCGGTGTGAAGCGGCACTGCTATCTTGGAGAAGTCCTGAATAAATCTCCGATAATACCCTGCCAACCCTAGGAAGCTCCGAATCTCAGATGGAGACCTCGGACCTCCCACTGCATCACGGCCTCAATCTTGGCCGGATCTACCAAAATACCCTTCTGGTTGACGAGATGACCAAGAAACTGCACCTCGCGCAACCAGAACTCACACTTGGAGAACTTTGCGAAAAGTCTCTCCCTCCTCAAAGTCTCCAACACCTCCCGCAGGTGCTCCTCGTGCTGCCCCTGTGTCTTGGAATACACCAAGATGTCATCTATAAACACTATCACCGACCGATCCCATCGGTCTGCACACGCGGTTCATGAGATCCATGAACGCGGCTGGGGCATTGGTGAGCCCAAATGGCATCACCACGAACTCATAATGA